CCACATTTGCTTATGCACCCATTTGTCTTCAGTGATCATATCATGGAGGAGAGCACACAATGATATGATTTTTTGTTCTTTGACGTCAGATAATGGATCCCTTTGGCATCTCGTGATCAAACAGGCTGATGTGTACTTCCATGTGAGCTTTGTTGCTTCTGAGGTAGATGGCCACTTGTTTACCTTCAAGTTTTTAAGACCCCAGACGTTATATCTTTTGATAGCCGGTCACCATCAGCTTTCTTCACTGCATTTGCTTATTCACCCGCTTTGTCTTCAGCGGTTGTGTCGGGAAGGTGAGCATCATAGAATGCCAATTTAATAGAAGAAAGTATTCTTGCATTGAGGGACTACTTGAGTGGAGGTTCAATGTCCTTCTGTTACCTTAACACTAAACCTATAAATATAGGCACATAGATCTATTTCCCAATCCTCATAAATATATTTGCACATAGATAAATAAATAAGAGTCCAATTAAAAAAAAGTTTCCTCGACAACCATCTCACTTTAGAGCATTTTTGGGCCCATCCAACTCATTGCACAGTTGTAAAAATATTTGACTATTTAAACTGCTCGCCTTTACAAAATGGACAGAACTTAAGGCGCGTTTCATTACTTCTTGTAACTCTTGTGGAAGTGTCTTCATTGCTAATATTTGTTTCCTGCCCATCCATGGTATATGATGTGAAATTGTTTGATTTACCAAGAACAATTTGTTTTTATTTATTAAGCAATTACTAAGGGGCTTCAAAAGTTTTTGGGAAAATTCTATTTTTTTTAAATCATTTTACTGGGGGCTCTTACAGCTCTTATAGAAATTCCAAACATCCACTGTGTCATGCACATTTGTATATATGTTGCCATCATCCTTTTCAAGACACTTTCTTTCTTCTTGAGCACCTCATTTTTCCCCGCCCTCCACCACCTTCTTGAACCCTTGATAAATTATAAATTATTATTACTTTCATATCTTACACCATCTGTTGTCTCCCTTCACCCATGTTTCTGTTGTTCGTCGCCCTGGGTGGGGCGTTATTATACGTCGATCATGGTGATCTGTTCTCCTTTTCTCCCCATACCCTTCCCCTATCCTCATGGTATCACTGTTCCCATTATTGTTCCTGAGGGGCTTATCTGCCCTGGATTCCTTGTCAAGAGCTCTTATCTCTGTACCCGTGTACATGCTTTGGTCTGGCCAGATTTGTTAGGTAGAACTGGGGTCATGATAGTGGAGGGGAGGAGGCATTAAAGAACTAGAGGAATGTTGTATGTTTCATTGGTGCTATACTGCACCCTGCTGTCTTGTTCTTCCTTGTGACCCTTCTTTGAAGGGATGTCCAATTTTCCACAGATAGGCTTTGGGTCTCATCTGCTACTCCCTCCTTCCCATTGATATGACTGTTTGTTTTGGGTCTTCTGATACCTGATCCTGTCGATACTTCATGATCACAAAGGCTTGTGTGCTTCTATCATGTGGGCTTTGTTGCTTCTCATCTAGATGGCTGCTTGTTTATCTTCAAACCTTTAAAACCCCAGATGCGATATCTTTTGTTAACCAGGCATCATTAGCTTTCTTCACCACATTAGCTGATGTACTCATTTTGTCTTCAGTGATCATGTGGAGAAGGTGAGCTTCGCAGAATGCCAGGTTTTTAGAACAAAGTGTTCTTGCCTTGAGGGAGTACTTGAGGCCCAATGTCCGTCTGCCACCTTAAGATTTAACATATATAAACATAAGTAGATAGATACATGTCTGTTACCTTTTAATTCCATCCCTGCCCCAACACACATATCTTAGGTAATTAGGGGGAAAAATGAAAACTCTGTTCAAATGAAAGGAGCCCTGATGATGCCATGAGGTAATAAGCATTGGGCTGCCTGCCACAAGGTTGGTGACTTGAACCCAGCTGACCTCTCCATGGGGGAAAATGAGGCCATATGCTTCTGTAGTGAGGTTTTACTGTGTCCTATAGAGTTGCTATGAGTCAGAATTGACTTAACAGTAGGTTTAGTTGGGAAGCAAATAAAATAATACTTATTTAATAGTATTACTTGGACAGAAAACATTTTAAAACTTTGTTATGTTTCAAAGTTAAGTGCACTACTGGTAATTTTATGGACTCTTACTTTTTAGTTTATGGGTGTGATAGGTTTTGTGTCAACTTGACTGCCCAGGGTTCTCTGTGGTTTAGCATAGAGAATGCTGTCTAAGACAGTAGGCATCACGGCTTTGCTTTGTGAGTACTGTATTCTTATGAAATGCCTATTGGATAGTACATTGTCCTCATGAAACTGTAGTCAATAGGTTTTCTGTAATACAGATTTCTTATGATTCGTGTTAATTTGGTATTGCAAAGAAAGTAGTACAGTATTTTCTGATGCAGGAGCTGTTGCTCAGAATCAGAGTAACCAGTTACAGAATGGTGTGAAAGTTTGCCTTATAGTTATGAATCAGACTGTAAGTGGAAACCACAGTTGTTTCCTCTTTGCCTCATTCATGCTTTAGTAGAGGATAAGATGCCGTCAAGCAGGGACAGTTTGTAGTTCAGTTAGCTAAGCTTCTTAATGCCTTTTTCTTCCTTTTTAGAAGCCACAGTAGTATTATCAAGCTACAAAATGTACCTTTTCGGATATATAGGGGGGAAATGTTAAATTTTATTTGTCAGTCTCAGTATTGACTGCAGTGTTCCAGTTTAGTACTGTTTTGAAAACATAGCATAAATAAATGCACACAGGCATGTTATTTGTAGTAGATTGTATATAAGCATGTAACTAACTATAAACACATGAGAAGCAATTTTGAACTCCTTAAAGTGTTTTCTGTTGTATGATATTATATAACTTAAATGTAGTATGCTAACTCTCCTTTATGTACCTCAGCATCAAGGCATGCCAGGGGTTGCCTCTCATCAATGGACAAAGCTGTGACCCCTATGCTACAGTTTCCCTCGTGGGCCCCTCGAGGTAATGTGTATGAAATTCTTAGGAGTTTTTTAAGCTCTCTAGTTCACTATGGAATTAAAAAGCTAAGTTTTTAAGAGCAAATGCTAAGTTATTAATAACACAAAGTAAGGAATGCTTTGAAAGATAGCCTTTATTGAACTGTTAGGACTTTGGAAACAACCAAATCTTGTGTTTTGTAGGGTACCATTTCACACCTTCCAGACTCTTGGGCTGTGGAAAACAGCCTTGGTTTTATACTAGTAAAATTGCCTTCAACACATAAACTTGTCTGTTTTATTCATCACTGTTCTTCTAAGTGTCTTTGACTTTGTACAGGTAAAATCCTGATTTTAATTCACACCAGCTCAGAATAGCTAGGGCTGAAAATACTTTTTCCATTCATGGACAATGTGCTCTCCAAGCTGTAGACAAATACTAGGACATGATGATGTGCACTGTAGTATTGATTTAAGTGATTTACGGTAGCTTATATAGAAACTGGCGGCACTTGCAGTATTTCATACTGTATAATGATTTCTTTCAAGGTCTGACTAATCTGAAGTTTGTCTAAAACTTGAAGGTCTAGAATCAGGAAGCACAAAGCACGATATTTCCTCTACACATACACTCCTGCCCACTTCTCCCCTGCCCCACGCCCTCTAATTCATCATAATATTCTTTCGAAAATCACTAGCAGACCACTGTGGAAAATATATTTTTATATGTGTGTATCAAGTTTCTAGTACTTATTGGTTGCTCAAACAACTGAGTAATACTGTTCTCAGATGTTTTAAAATGTAAAAACAATTCTATATAACATTAAATGCTATCATACGGATTTTTGCTTCCATGGAAAAACCTTGAACCTAACATTTTAAATAAACATTTTATCTGTATCTGACAGATATACCTTATTATAATTGTTTAGTTATATCCACATTAAAACTACTTGCTTCTGAATTTATTTTTTAAAAGAAATATATTAGTTTTGATATTGTACTATATAGTTTGTAAGTTGTCAATTTGAGGGAGGTCTGGGGGAAGGTGGTACAGGGTCTTCCTGTATATATATGTCTATGCAACCACCTGTGGATATATAATTATTTCAAATAAAAAGTGGAAAAAAGTTGCTACTGGAGATGAAGCCCGAAGAATAAACATAAGTACAAATGTTTTTGTGTTCCTTAGTTTTTAAACATAAATGTACCTCAAATTTCCCTGTATTCTTTCTCATTCTATCTTCTGAGTTGCTCAGACAATAGAAACTGTAGCAGTATAATATAGTCACAGAGAGAATGTCATTCAGTCATGGTGATTATAGATTGCACAAAGCTTGTGTACTCTTTGATTTATTTCTTAGAAACACCACAATTTTCTCTCCAAGTAATACTTAAAACCACATAATTCCTTGAGTCATCTTAACAGTTAAACAAACGTCTCCCCTCCCTGGTTGGGAATAGCATGTTTTATAATTGTGTACTATTAAGTTCTACAAGGTAAAACTCTACCACATTGGATACAGGAATGACCAAAAGAAGACAAAAGTAAAGAAGAAGACAAGCAACCCACAGTTTAATGAAATCTTTTATTTTGAGGTAACTTTTTCTTTTATATAAATGTTATTAATATTGCATATTTAATGTTGAATGCTGGTTGACTTCTTTTTTCAAACTATTGCCATGATGATCATTTTATCAAAAACAAGTCTGATTAAGACCAAATCCGTATAGGTGTTTATCTTAGTCAAGGTTTCTGGAGAACAGAATCCGTGAGATGCGTGTGTGTAAGTCCGTATAAAGAGCTTTATATCAGGAGAATCGTGTGAATTAGGGGCTGCCAAATCCCAGATCTGTAGGTCATGCTGCAGGCTGCAGGCTGCTGCAGGTTTGTACTCCAAGATTTGTAGGACAAGTATCAGGAAGAGTGAAAATGGGAGGCTTCTGCTGAAATATCTTTTTAATATTCTGGAGGCTGACTATATTCTAAGGAAATTTCCCTTTCAGCTAGTTAATTATATTATGGAAGGTTATATTGAATTGCATTAGATTACATTATAGAACATCAACTAGTCTAGTTTTTTGCCAAACCACTGAAACCGTAGCCTAGCCAAATGGCACTTAAAATGAACTATATTACAGTGGTCTTAACATTAAAATCTAAGAAATTAGCCATTTTTTTTTAAAGAACAAATATTCATCCTTTGATCCATGTGGATTTCTGACTCTACTGTCTTAACCAGTAGGAAGAAATGTAAGCAAAACTGTAAAACATGAAAAATTTTATATTAATACATTTAATTCCAGAAAACCTGAAGTGTTTGTCCAAATTCTTCACATGAGATGAATCCTGTTAGCACACTTTATTTATTTATTTATTTCAATTTTAGAACTTTTTTCTTTCTTGTGCTCCTTTTTATTAACTCCTTATGTAGATGCTAAAAACTTTTTTGTTTTGGGGGGGCGGTTTTAAAAAAAATCATTTTATTAGGGGCTTATACAATTTTATCACAATCCATACATACATCAATTGTGTAAAGCACGTTTGTACATTCATTGCCCTCATCATTCTCAAAACATTTGCTCTCCACTT